TGGAAGAAGAGGTGATTGATGGTCTTTAGCCTTGGAAACCTCTATTTCAAAAAAGAATAAGACATGTATGATCATAATACATAGCTAATGCTTACATGTGAACATTTAGTAATGTTTGTGGTGCCAAGGGCATCACCTTGCCACCTACCAGGAATTAGTTTCTCCCCTCCCCTTTCCAGCTCCTCCCCCTCTAATCTCCCAAAGCAACTACTAAACTGAATACCATGTACAAAATGATGAGGAGCCTGGGCAGGTGAGGGGATGAACAAGCTTATCTCCTTCACACATACTCAAGATTTCTGACCGCTCCCACCCAAGGTCACCCCAATCTGCCTTGAAGTGCCTGTGCCCAGATCAAGGACTCAGAGGGCATCAGTTAGGAGTTGGTAGTGCGGCTAGGAATTCTTTAGAAAAGATATCCAGAAAGAAGCTTCTAGACTGCAGGGGAATCTGGAAGACGGCAGGAAAAGGGGCCCTAGGGGGTGCTGGGGTGTGCGGGGAGGAGCCTGAAGCTGTGGCCAGTCTGTCCCCGCCTGCAGGAATTCAGAGATCCCCAGTGAAGCAAGCTGCACAGGAATGTGAGAACATTTACATTTCTTCCCTCACACCCACACGGTCACACTTTATTTATTTATAGTCCTCTTTTCACACAAACATACTTGATCCCCTTTGAGACAAGCTCTGCTATGGTGCTAGCGCCCAAATGAGGGAAGACTCTTGAGGGGATCAGAAATGAAAACCTCAGCTCCTCAGTGACTGAGGAGCCAAACCCTTGGGTGACCTTGGGACAGAGTCTGACTTCTCTGACTCTTCTTGCCAGGCCATGGCAGATGTTCAGGGCATAGAAGCCCGCAAGAGAAAGAACTGCCAGACCAGTGGAAGCAGTTGTTTGTTACCTGCAAGGCCCAAGGGGCAGAGATGGAACTGTTTACATTGCGCTCTGCTTTGGACATGCATGGAAAGTTAGGGACTGAGAGATGACGTTCAGCCCACTATTTTATAGATGGAGAAATTAACTCCCCAAAAGATTTTGGGAGTGTCTGAGGTTATTGATTTGTGCTAGGGGTGCTTATAGGAATATGCATTCCTTAAGGGTTAGCAAGAAGAAATTGCTGTACATTACATACAAAAGGATTCAGGTGATGCATGACAAAAATAGGGTCATAAGAAGGTTGTGGAATAGCCTGGACAGATGGGGTTCTGTCCAGAGGCAGGGTATGCCTGCCTGCAGTGATGTCAACACTCCATCCATCTCCTCGGGACACTGATCTCATGCCAGTCCTTTTCTTTGGGAGTCCAAGGGATTAAAGGTCCCTCCCCCAGCGCCCAGCTCTGTGACCTGTGACTGGAGGAATTTGAGAGGCCAGTCCTGGAACAGGTGCAACAGCTGGAGCGACTGTGCAGCTGTTGCTGGGCTCTGCTCAGCAGCCTGCAGGGGAGTGAGTGAGACAGAGACCTCTACTGGTAGGAGGGAGGAGGTGCAGAAGCACCTGGACAGACACTCAGAGACCAGTCTGGAGCCCCAAGTCAGACGTCCAGTGGGACACCCTCCACACCCCAGACCCCTATGTCCCTCTTCACAGGTAGATGGAGATATGACTAAGCTGAACAGCAGTTCAAGGGCCCATTAGCAGGTGTCTTGCTGCACCCACTGCTCCAGGCCCTACTCTGAGGGTCTGTCCATCTATACACTCCTCCCTGGCAAGGAGGGATACCAGACTGTAAACCCACACTCCCCCAGCTTCCTTGTCCAAAGGTCATAGTAGACTCAGAATCAAGGCAACACCATCTTTGGCTCTCCAAGTTCTGGAATCATGGGATGACTAAGAGTCAGAAATGGTCCTCAGTGATTATCTGTTTGAAACAAACCATCACCCTTTACAGTTGGCCCTGACCTCTGATTCCAAGTTTTCCCTCTGTGTCACATCATACACACAAGCTCCTTTCCTGCCCCCTCTTTATGGAGTCTGGGGTCTGTCACCTGGGAACAAAAGCATTGATTCCTATAATATCCAGAGTCTTTGGAAAGAGAGAGAAGAGAGAGCAATATTTTCACATGGTAACTGACTCCTTGAAAGCAGAATTGGATGACGGGGAAGAAGAAAAAGCAGAAGTATGCCAGAAATCTTACAAGGAAGGGGGAATCTGTGAGGAAAGTATATAAAGGAGAAGATCTAGTATAGGAAAGAGCCCTGGAGGGGGAGTCAAGACACTAAGCCTGTTTCTTTCCCCTGAGGGATGAGTGCTCAAAGTGAGCCATGTATGTGATTCAAGCTGGGGTTGGGGCCAGCCAGTTAGAGACCTGGCCCAGGGGGTGGCGTTGGGGTTCATCTGTCATGAGAGTTTGCAATCCAGAGAGCCTGTGGCTGCAGTTGAGATTTCACCTGAGCTGGGAGGAGGGGGTGCCGTGGCAGGAAGTAGAGGCAAGGATAGAATGACCTTTGTTTAAGTACGTGGTCCTTTAAATGAGGAACAAGCAGCCATGTGAGCTTACAGGCCTTGGCATTGGTGACAAGGCTGGGTCACCTCAGGAGTCTCCTACCACACAGACCGGAGAATTTCCAGCTGTTGGCACCACTTGTGAAATCACCTAAAATGCCAGCAGGAGTACCTTACCCACAGCAAGTCTGAGATCTCACTCAGGCTAAGATAAGGAACATCATAACAGCCTTCAAAGTAGACAGTGGCAAATGATTATAGAATTGTTTCCAGATTAATCGATTGTCAGCACTAGACATGAATGGATGTCAGAGAAGAGAAGTGACTTGTCCCAATTTGCACCACCAGTAAGATAAAGAAATCAGGGATGAGGATTTTCCTTAGTAAATTTGCCGTCACCTTGAGAAGTCTCCCTCTTTTTCTGGGCTGCAGTTAAACTACAAGGATAGGTAAATGAGAGGTAGAAGCAGATGGTTTTCAAAGGCCCTTCAAGCTCTGACACCCCAGAATATTAACACATACTCTGAATGCCAGTGAACTCACTTTAACTCATCAAGTCTGCTCCAAGTATAGGCGGCAATACACAAGCAGTAGCCTGTGAGGAGTGTGGCCCTGGAGACCAGTGCAGGCACGGAAGAGGGACAGTTGTTGTGGATCAGATGGCCAAGGACAGTTTTCTGGAAGGGGTATGGCCTCAGTAAGGTGTTGATGAGCTGACAAGATATAGCAGGCAACGAGAAGGGGTGTGGGCAGGACATGAACAATCCTGCATGATAATCTGACCCTAGGTCCTCCTTCACAGATGCATTCAGAGTGTGTGTTAATATTCCGGGGTGAGAGAGCTTGACGGGCCTCTGAAAACCATCTGCTTCTACCTCTCATTTACCTATCCTTGTAGTTTAACTGCAGCCCAGAAAAAGAGGGAGACTTCTCAAGGTGACGGCAAATTTACTAAAGAAAATCCTCATCCCTGATTTCTCTGTCTTATTGGTGGGGCAAATTGGAACAAATCACTTCTCTTCTCTGACATGTGAAGGAAAACCTAGGGGCTCCAGAGGAGGTGCCAAGTGGCAAGGAGGCAGGCAGGAGGGAACTTTGGGCTGTCTCTTTGAAGAAACAGCAGGTACATTTTAGGAGGAAACCTCCAGGGCTCAAGGAAGGGGAGGACACAGTCTCTGGCACTACAGTGGACGTGTGAACAGTCACCTCCTTTAATCCTCCCAAGAATCTTCTGGCTTCCAGTTGAGTATGTGGCTTATGTTGAGTTGCGCATGAAGAAACGGGCATGGAGGAGTTGTGACTTGAGGAAAGTTACACAGAGGCAGAGTCAAGATTTGAACCCTGCACCAGCTCCTTCCATGACTCAGCTTCATTACTTATTGCTGAGGTCGGCCCAGAAACAACCAGAGCGTCTGCCCTCACCAGCAGATATATGACGAAGCAAAGCGCAGCAGCACTGGCTCCAGACAGTCACATGAAAAAGAAGGCAGAGATGGGTGCTGAACTGTGGAGGAGAAACACACAGCAGGGTGGGAGCTGTACCCCAGCCCGGCCACCAGCGGTAGGAGTCACTGCCTCTCCAGCAGGTAGTTTCAGAGTTTAAATGAAGTTCCCTCTGTCTCCTCAAGAGACTCTGCTTCCCACCCTCACAGCATCCTACAAGACCAGCAGGGGACAGAGAGGAGGTCCAGAGCCTATTGTGGGGCTAGTAAGGAAACTGAGGTTCAGAGAAATTCCATAAACTGCTGAAGGTTACACTGTCTAAGTGGGAAAATGTGAGTTAAGGACTTTGCTCCTCTTTTTTCTTTCTTTCTTTTCTGAGAAGCTACCACATACAAGCTAGTTACTGGTATTAGTTCCTTCACATGTTTTCTCTAATCCTCTACTCCCATTTTATATACTAGGAATCTGAGGTTCAGAGAGGACGGTGTTCTCCACGCCTCCCTCCCAGCAGCTGCTATTCAGACCCAGTGGGGCTGGGTAAGGAAGACCCAGAGATGTCTATGTTGCTGCCTCTCCTTACAGTCTTGCAACTGGGGAATTTGGCTTTGGCTGGCACCCCATCTCTGTAAGTTGGAGCAACTTTCTTTTCTCAGCCTGTGTTATCTCATTTGTAAAATGCAAATGATAATACCTACCTCCTCAGAATTCTGAGAGGATTAAACATGGTAAAGGGGTGGGAAGCTACCTCTCCTTCAGTGCAGTAACCTTTTCATCTGCATCTACCCTTGCTGCCAAACATAACAGACTCTCTAGGAACTATTAAGCCAGCTACCTCATCTGCACCCTTAAACACAGCAGCTCGTCCTCTCTCCCACAGCCCAAGTCCTACCATCCTCGTGGCCAGGGCAGCAGCCCCCTTGACCCTGAATTTTGCCAAGTTCCTAGCGGTCTCCAGACTAGTCAGCCCTTAAAGTTCCACAGAGTCTCCACCCTCTCCACACAGGTGCTGAAGGATGGCAGTCAAAACAGTTTGGGGTCCCAAGTTCTAACAGTTTCCCACACATGTTCGGGTTCGCATCCCTTCTCTCTGTCCATCTCAGTCCCCTCCCATTACTTACGGGCTCGAGCGTGGGAGTCCAAGGGGAACCAGAGCAGCGCAAGTCCCAGCAAGGAGGAGAGGACCCTGACTTCGGGAACCATCCTTCCTTACCCCCAGGGCCAGGCCGACGGAGCGCGGAGCCGGGAAGGGAGTCTGGAGAAAGTGCGATGAGGACACTGAGGCTCGGGGCTGCAAGCGACTCGCAGACCTTGGGAGGGCTGCAGCTGTACACTGGAGAGTCGTCAGAAAAGGGTCGAGCAGAAGGTGACGAGGACAGATGGGGGGTGGTGGGAGTGGTCCAAGGTGAGAATAAGAGGAAGGTGGAAAGTAGACCCGGAGGAAGGCGGGAGAGAGATGGGGAGGTGGAGGAAGGTATGCAAGAGGGAAGCAATAAAAGGAGGGAGAAGGTGAGAGAGATGGGAAGAGAAGAAAAGGAAGAGAGGACAGGGCTCTGCAGAGCGCGCAGCGCTGGGCTGGGCGCGAGGGACTCGCGCGCTGCTCCTGGTGCGCGGGCTGGAAGCTGCCGGCGCTCCCCGCTTGAGGGGCTCAGGGTCGAGCTGCGGGGTCCTGGGGCCTGGAGGGGCGGCGGTACCAGCGGCGGCGACGGCGCGGCGGCCGTGGGGGTTGGCTGAGCGCGGGCCGGCTGTGCTCGCCAAGGGCGCCAGGCGCCGCGCTCGGGCGCATTTGTACTTTGCCGCGGGAAGCAGGCAGCCCCGGCCTGGCGCTGGCCTAACGCTGGCGCCTCCTCTGGGGCACCGCGGGCTCGGTGGATTGGCCACCCGAGAAACAAGCCCACTTTCCCCCCTCCTCTCTCGTGCTAGTCTCCGGGACGGCCGCTCCAGGCCCGGCGCCGAGTGGAGGCGAGGGGGCTGGGGAGGGGGAAGGGGCCACCCGGGCCCCTGGGCTTTAACCCCTGACTCCCCGCGACGTCCAGAGTGCGGCAGGACAGAGCCAAGTTAGGCTTCTGGTGGGTCTTTCGGGGGGAGATGTCAGGGTGGAGAGGGGAAGCGGTCTTGAGGACCTTCTCAGAGGGGCATGCATAGAACTCAGCCTTTCGATGAAATCGGGACACTTGCCACCCTTAATTCTGGTTCTGGTCTTCCATGCCTCCTCAGAGTCTTTCTCTGTCACTAATGCGCAGCTTAAAATCTTTAATATTTCCCCCCAGTTGTTCCAAAGATGAAATGAGATAACTTCAAAGTACTCAGATCTCAGAAAGAATTGCAGTAATTCCAGGTGCCGAATAGTTCCCTTACTAGTTTCTCCTTCACATTTGCAAGCGCTGTTGACTGCAGATTGAAATCCAGTGCCCCTGGGTCCCTGGCCCTTCCTCTGGAAGTCTTCTCCTTCCTCCTCCCACTGCCAAAGCAGCACCTCTCCTTGCCTCTGCAGGTAGGTCCTGCACCTTTCCAAGAGTGATGAGCTGTTGTCAGAGTGTTCTCTTTTCTCACCAGAAAGTCAGCTTCCTGAAGCAATTTTCCTGCAGCCTGTAGTTGGTGCTTCACACCTAGTGTTGAATGCACATGAATGAGTAGGACCCTCTTTCCAGACAAGAAACCCCTAAGTTTTGAACTCAAAAGGGCGTGGTCCTAGTTCCAGCTCTCTCCCCAACTTTTTGGGCCATTTTAGGTCAGCACATCCATCCCTACTTTGGACCTCAACTTCCTGCACAAGTTCTCTTGCAGAACATACTGGAAACTATAGTGAGCATTGGAGGGAGAACCCAGGGAGGAATAAGACAGGAATTTGAACCATATCACACTCTGGTAGGGAATCACATTTCCTAGTCTAAACACTTCTGATTACCTATAGAGATCCCATCCTGGGCCAAGGCTGGGTTTCCCATTCCATTATGTCACCTGTCTGTCTCCTCCAGAACAGAGAGCACTGGGAGGAAAAAGTGATACCAGCAGAGTTTTCAGAATCAGGTACAAGCTTGATCTGCAGCCACGTGCCCTTTACGCTTAACTTCTCCAATCTGGTCAGTCTCTTCCACTTCCTTGATCATATATTGAACAGGTAATGAGAGCTCTGTGTGTCATAGTGCTTCCCTATTTAACTGGGCTTTCAGGGCATTCAGAGCTCAATGTACTGCTTAGATGCAGAAATAATCTCATTCCAAAGATTTGGGACACAGATCTTTTCCTCTCTTCCTCTTTGTTTAAACTCTGCTATGCATAGGTCTAAAGTATTAAGAGGTAGATTAAGACAGGCCTTTCCTACATCCTGCACATTCTAGGAGAGGTCTCTATCCTGAGACCAGCAAAGGGTCTCAACCCTTCTCTCAATCCCTATTCCCGAGTTCAGGTCATCATTACCCCCTACCTGCTCTTTTCCAATACCCTCTTAACAAGTCTTCTGCCCCAGTCTGGGCCCCTCGAATTTAGGTCCTCACACCTGCCCTAAGAATTATGCTGATCATGTCTACTGATAAATCTGATCATATCACTCTTCCCCTTAAAACCTATTATTGGAAAATTTTTTAAAAAGCACTAAATGCAACGGTGTTCTAGATCAGTGTGTGACAGTAAAAGAATAGTATCAGAAAAATGGGTGAATCGAGTCTGTACTCTAGTTAATGGTGATGTACCAAACTGGGTCTTACTCTTGGTAAAATAGACCACTGTTCTGTAAGATGTCAACACAGGGGAAACAAGGAGTGGTATGAGATAAGAGCTCTGTGCTATCTTTGCAAATTTTCTGTCAATCTAAAATCTGTCCAAAATGAAGAGCCTGTGAAATAAACAGGCCTCATATTGGCTTCTTGTCATTTGTAGAATAAAATCTCCACTGTTTAGTATTGCATCCAAGATCATTCACATAAAGATTTATTTATTTATGCATACAGAACTGGGGTACAGGCCAGATGTGCAGGGGCAATGAGAGGCTTTACCAGGGACAGAGTGGGAAGCAGAACAGGCAGATCGTGGAAGTACACTGCTAAGGGGAGCAGCAGGCAGGCCAGGAGAGGTCTGCCGCGCCATGTGGTCACCTCCAAGGCAGGCAGGGATCGAACCCATGCTGAAGTGGCTTTAGCTTCTTTGTGCTGTGCTTTAACCTGCTGTGCCAACAGGGAGGGCCAATCATTCACATTTTGACTCCTTCTCACCATTACAATCTACCTACACTTTGACCAACCACTGCCCACCCCAAATTGGCCATGTATTTTCACGCCTTCTTGTCTTTGTATGTTTTCCTTCTGTTTGGATGGTCTTTCTTATACTCCTTCTAGTAAATTCCTTTTCACTTCTCAAAAGTCAGCTCTGAGTCCTTTCTGCTCTGAGAATTACATGAGTACCCAACAAGGGAAGCAAATTTTGGGTCTTTGTGGTACTTTGTATCATGGTTATTGGAATGTAAGAGTATTCATATATTGCTTAATGGTGTCTTAGTCAATGACAGACTGAGTGGATGATGGTGGTCCCAACAGCCTCTTAAGTAACAGGCTCTCTGTCTAGGATAGTGTAATTACACTGTGACACTCGCACAATGATGAATTTGCCTGAGGACACATTTCTCAGAAGGTTCCCATTGTAAGCCACCCATGGACTCTCCTTCCACTCTGCAACATGAGGGCAGGAAGTTGGTGTTTTGTTGTTGTTTTTCATTATATCTGCACTTCTAGCACTTACAGCAAAGTCCCTGATACATGAACTACTGAATTAATAATTGCTACATGCATGAATGAACATCTCAGTGCTTTGAAAAGATAGTTTTCTTTCATAGGAGGGCCTTCAGCACAAGAAACACTTAAGGGAAGGTTTTTATGTTTTCTGTAGAATTGCTATTGAGGAAGGTTGTCCAGTGTGTTAACTTACATCCTTCTTAAGAAAGAAGACTTGATGCAGTCTTGCAAAATCTGGGAGGAAAAAATGTACCTACCTATTGCAATTTGTTACACCACGTTTGTCCCTTGCTACCTTCCTAGGGAACTTGCAAGTTGCCTTCCCAGGCAGACCTTGGCTTTGTTGGACAGCTCTGGTAGACAGTTCTTTAACTGAAATCTGATTCTCAGTGAGGCAACTAGCTCTGACCCCAGGGCTATACATAATAAGCCAGCACCTTTTGTCTTGGGAGAACTCTACTGATACTTGAGACCCACCTCTTACTCTCATCTTTACCATCCTTATCTGCCTGAATCCTCTTGCTACATCAGCCCTTTTCTTTCTTTAAATGTGCTGAATTATTTTGCCTCTCCACCCCCCTCACTTCTGCACATTCTTTTTTGTTTTTTTGTTTTTTAATCTCTACCCACTCTTTCATGTCTGATCAGCCCATTTTTCCAGGGTCAAAGTAATCATGGCCGCCTTTATTCTTCTAACAGTCATTGAATGTCAAGCCTGTGCTAAGCACCAGGCTGGGTGCCAGGGACAAAGTGAACAGCAACAGAAACACTGTCACCATAATACAGGTTCCTGATAAAGTATTCTTCATGGTCTCTAAGTTAGTTTCTCTCTCTGAGCTTCTGTATCTCCATTAGCACATTGTATCTCCACTTAGCACAATGTATCTTCAAAGGTTTTGTGTCATCTCCTCCAACTGTTCCTTGAGAACAGACTATTTATCTAATATCCTCCCCTGCCTTTAGCACACAACTTTGCCCATAATAGCTGTTAAATAAAAGTTTGTTGAATAATATCCTTGTTCTTTCAAATAGTCCTCCTATGTTATTTGTGGCTAAAAGATTTCAGCTTGGGTTGAAGGTTGTTTGTGTAAAATTACCATATCAATAAGGGTCTTTGAGATCAATGTCAAGGAAAGACTTGTTTGCCTAGTCCACTTCATTCTGTCAATAAGATTCTAAAAGCAGATTCATCATAAGAGAGTTACATAACAGGGTCCGCAACAGAGGACCTCCATAAGGGTGTGTTGGTAAATAGTTAACAACCAGCTGTCCAGTGGAAAAGAAAAGCCTTAGCTTATAGCAGTTGCTGGTTTCTATGGTGTAAATACTCCCATGATGGCTACTTACAGGCTGCCAATGTGACATCATTGAATGTGGAGCTGCACAGTGGGACACCATTGTGTAGTATTGCCATTTTACAGATAATGTAGGCATAGCAACAGCAACGTGTAGCAAATAATTAGGAGGTGGGAAGTT